CCAGATTTCTGTCAGTGACTGCTTGGCAGAAATCATACTTTATACAACATGTATTAGGGGCGGACGAGTCAACTTCTACCTGGATGTCGAACACATAAAAAATTTCGTGGCGAAGAAGACAATTTTGATATGAAATTTGCACCTAACTTAAATAGCAATCTTCACTGGGGAGATTTTAACAAAATGAAAGTTTCGAATTACCTAATTAAATGTTATCAATCAAGGTATAAGATATGATCCAGAGGAAAGAGAAGACCAATTTTTTAGTAACGGCAGCTGTTTTTATTGACATGATGTAGAATGGTTCAAATTAATTAGTTCTAGATCTCTAATACTGGCTTTAAGCTAATTCAATACGATTGTTTATAAAGAACTATTTGAATTTTTGGGAGAAATTATCAAATTATTTTCAATTTTGGCCCCAAATAAGTTGTCTCTCTTTAATCGTGTGATGGACATGGCTGTTATTTAATACCCAAAATTCTGAATCCACAACTTTGTAAACAACATAAACATACCACATCCATTTTCATATATACATATTTACTGTCAGTAAATCCACTTTGTCTGTTTTGGATCCTGTTATGTATGAATAACAAACCGTTGATCATATACATACGTATTAATAAATTGCAGTGATGGTAGATGTTATTATTGCGAAAAAGAGCATTTAAGAATATGTTTTCTGAAATCGTTCAGTAAAGACACCATAATTATTTGAGGCAACAGAATGTAATGTATCACATATAAGATACATACAGCATTTTATAAGCTAAAATTATGATACTGGTGTATATACACTATCAAACTGGCAGCTGACACACTTCACAAAATTATAAGTATCTAAAAACTTCATTATTTTTGAAATAGACAATTTTAGATTTTATGAACATCTGTCACATCTTTTTCAGTTTATTCTTTAAGTCTTCTTTTCTTTAAGATTTAAATTTACAGCGCTTAAAATTTGTTTGTATTCTTCTTCGCATTTATTCAGTTGCTTTAAGAACAATGCTAGAACCCCCTGAAACCCCACAATTGGGGAACAAACCGCAATTCGATCAGTATCCATAAATACAGGATGATTTCGAAATATATCCAATACTTTTAACCACGGCATCACGTATCGAAGTAATGTGGAAATATAGAAAAAAGAAATTCAAAGTCAAAAAAAACTCCTGGAGTTCCACGAACTGTACCGGCTGCCATTTCCACTCGTTGAAGCTTTTCGCTAGTTTCTGGACCCTGGTGATTTCCATAAACTAACTGTTTCATCCAACCCCTCAGACAAAAATCACACGGATCGAGATCGGGCGAACATGGAGGCCAAGTTACTGGGCTATATCTATCGACTCACTGGTTAGGAAAATAGTTATTTAACCATTTAGTTACTGGTCTAGCAAAATGTGACAATGCTCCATCATGCAAATACCACATGTGAACTCGTTCACCTACAGGCATTTCCACAACTAGCCGCCCTTTCAACACATTGTTTAAAAACTTTTTTTAACGTGATATGGATGTAGGGCTTGTCCTTTTAATGTACGATGCACTACAAACTGTGAAACTTCAACTTCAGCTGTAAGTTGGCTAGTGCTAATGTCGGGCTCTTCTTCGACGCGTTCCAAAATTTGTTCATCAGCTTCCAGCATTCGTTCGGTTTATATTTAATTTCAAATAGACATTGCTACCACTTACGGACGTGAACTTTACAGAGCGTAATAAATCCTATTGTGAGCTATTCCCCATTTTTTTTATTGCAGACAGTTTGAAATCATCCTGTATATACGTATATATAAATAAATAAATTTAATTGCTCAACAGAACAATGTTCCAATTACAGGACAATACATTAAATTAACAACTGATAATTCTGCAGCCTACACTAACTTAACAATTGTAAATGAAATAATGCAGTATGCCACTATTTTTGAGACCTTGTAGAATTTTACAATTTTAAAGTTAAAGATTCGCAACCCCCCACCGTTTAAAACCATGAATTTTATCCTTCGGTTAATCCAGTTACGAGAGGTAAATTCAAAACGGCAATTCGTCATCAATTTTGAAACTGCAAGACGAGTTTTTAAACGAAACAAAAATACTTACTTGCATTTATTAACCTCACGCTTTTCTCAAGATTGTTTGGAGAATATATTCGCACAAATTAGGTCCAGACATCCCATTCTGTCAGCAAGTCAGTTTAAATATGACGTAAATGAAACCGTTGAACCAGGAACATATTTAAATGATTTTTTTTTGTTTTAGAAGTAATAAAAAAACGCTAACGTTATAAAGGAGAAGGAATGTTTGATTCTATCTAAGATAATTGGAATTTGAAAAGAAACGAAATTTCTTTAAGAGAATAGAATGCTCTTTTTAGTTGCACCGGTTATGTAATCGAAAGTATGAAAACTGAAAAAAATTGTCAAAATTTGATAATGCGATTACACCTTACACAAAGGTTGTGGCTTTAAGAATGTATAAAAATAGTTCACTGTGCTACGTTTCTGACAATACTTTTCAGATAACAAGTTCACTGGAACAAATTTTTGCACACGTAATATTTTGCAAATCATGAAGAACAGTTGGTACTGATCAGATAATAAAATCTCCCCCGTGTTGTAGTGTAAAAACTAAATTTGCAGAAAAATGATCGTGTTCCGTTTAAACATCTGTAGTCAAAAAGTAAAAAAACAAGTAAAGAAATAGGACAAACTAAATGGTCCAGCAAAAATCACAGTGTGAGATTTGGTGGAAAATTGAAATAAAAACGTTCCATTATTAAAATAATATAATTTTGGAACAAAAATTGCTGTTTAGGTATATCAGTGTTGCCATACTCTTATTAAAATATTGTTTAGGTATTCTAGTTAAACCTATTTAGAAAAATAAACTAAAATAATAATAAAAAAAAATAAAGTTTACGCCTTTCAAAAAAAAAATAGGTACCTAAAATTTCTACTTGTTTTGTATGTTTGATATCGCGAAATCAGTAAACAAAACGTATTTTGTTGTTATTAATAATAGTTAGTTATTTATCAAGGTATAGAAGTTCCTCGTATTTTATACCGAATATGAAGTTTATTAGCCTCGGCTACTCCTCGGCTAATAAATCATATGAAGTATAAAAAAGTAATTTATTCGATAACAAAGTTCAAATATCGTTATCCTCAAAGTTGTTTCGCGAAAATTATCAATTTTATTAATACACATGATTAAAACGACGATATAACATTTTGGATTCATCTTGATTTATGGCATTATGGCAGAAGGATTCGGGAATGGCTGGAGCAGAATAATGTTAATTATGCACCCAAAGAATACAACCTCTCAAATGTCTCACAAGGTCGGCTAATCGAAAAATTTTGATCACAACTGTCTTTAAAGATTTATGGCAACATATAATTGCTGGCGGGCATTTTTCGAAAAATTCGGGAAGTGGACTTGAACATCGTCCAAAAAAGATGAAACAATTCTTAACTAAAGTACGTGTCATTGTAACTAGATACAAATTCCTTGAAATATCAGTTGTATTAAAATTATTCTTACTAATTATAAAAATGTTTAAAAGTTATACAAAATTTATCTGTTCATCTACTCTCCAAAAACTGATGACGTTATTTCTAAATTTCCTTATTTAAAATTTATCCAGTTGTTAATGACGGTAAATATTCCACATTAACAAATTGACTGAAATTTTTATGATTTATGAGACAAGCCCTTTGCAGAATTTCACACTGGATGTATTAGTGTTTACAGATTTAGTTTTGATGTAAGTGATATATAGTCTTGATAGGACCAAAGTTATTAGTGTTATTATTAAATTACATTTCTTTGTAAAAACGTTTTTATGGTTTTACTACAAATCGGAATTATTTCTATGAATGTAGTAATCGATTTTGTACAAAAAGTTGCTTGAATTAGTTCATGAATAATTATGGTTTTAACAGAACCTATAATAAACATTTATACTTTTTAGATTTGCTTTTGTTCTTTGTACATTGTAAATACATACATTATACATTATATTCCCGCATCAGTATTATTTAGATACTAATCATCCGGAACATTATGACCTTGTCTTCACAATAAAACCGAAAATTGTAAAAATGTTAATTGAACTAATATACAAAAAAAAATCAAGGCTTAACTGACAATTCGTGTGAGACTACAGCGACACATATTTATTTTACAAGACAACATATTACATTCAAATAAAAATGCTTAGTGCTTTGGTGGCAACGGCTAAATAATTCATCTTACCAACTTTTAGCTGAATGATACTGTTATATAACATAGCATAAACATTTTTTACATGTAATGACTGATGTTTTTTTTTTGTCATGCGCATAAAGAAATTACAAAACAATAGTATAAAAATGATCAAAAACTTAATAAAATATAAATTTTATGTTCTGACTAGAGAGAAAAGTTTCATCTCCTTCATTTGTGGGTACGTCATTCATCATTGATGTGTACGCATACATTTTATTAGTATGTTAAAAATTCGTCATATACTATAATTGAATTTGTATGTCTAAATAGCAAAGTAAAGTTTATCTGTTTATAATAAAGCTGTTTATAGTTTTGTTTGTTTGGCAGAATTGCCTGAATTTCGTGTGACAATGGAACAACGCCTACGGCCTTCATTACATAAAAACGATTCACAATTAAATTACAGAGAGGAAGTGAACCATGAAATATTTAAGTAAAACATATAGCATAAAATGAGAATCAACAATAATTTTTAAAAACAATCTATTTTCTTAGTGTAAACATAAAAAAAAATAATGGGTAACCGTTAGCACGTAAAACAATTTTAATATGTACACGTTTAAATGTTATTACATTCATCAATGTGTAATGCAAAATCTAATATGTTATCAGTTTGTATTAGCAATTAGTTCAATTTATAAAAAGGAAATTTTTGCTATCCGAAAACATAAACAACCTATTGTTTGCAACTATAGCTCTCTATCATGAGTAAGAGTAGGGATAGTTTAAGCACGCTTTAGTTATATCTTTAAAGTCAGCTTGCAAAGGTATGTCTCTTGTCAGTTGTGAGTGCATTGCAAGCAAGATCAGTAAATTGCTGAACAACTCGTTACATACAGGTATGTTTATAAACACAACCACGCGGTTCGCAGCAAATCATGTTTAAGTCGCACTCGTAGTGTCTTTTTGTTGTAATATTATTAATAATATAAAAATTCATGATCTTATTTTGTTCAAACATTCACAACACATTTTTAATATTTTCCTATTTTTCTCCTGTTTTTTTTTAAGTTATTTGTAGCTAGAATCTTTTCGGCATAAAATAAGAAAATAAAATTTCCAACAAAATTTTGATTTATTTAAAGATAAAATTTTATAACCAGATAGAAGGATTGTGATCTAAAATATTTTCTGTATGTGTAATTAGTTTGTTTAAAAAGTACTTAATTGTTGAGTTATTAAGTTATTATACACAACACAACATATTTGCAAAATCTAGCCTATCTGCTAGATAAAGTGTACATACATAGAAAAAATTATCAGTAAAAATATTCCATTTACGTGTTCTGTGTTTTCTTTCGCATAAAATTGTCACTTAAAGGCTGATTAATATGTTAACATACATTTTAAAGGACGTAAAAACAAAAACAAAATATATGAAATTGCATATTACAATTTTTCGGTACGTAACTACTAAAAAAAAACAGAATCAATTTAGTATAATTTCACGCACAACGATTTTCTAGTTAGTTCGCTTTTATTTTTTTTTAATTATTTTTATTTAATACGTGCAATGAATTAATTTTTAACAATTACACAGCTTTAATTATAAATGTTACGCACTGTACAAACGTTATCGTTGTCTGCATTATCGATGTTTGATAATTTTTGGTTATCTCTAAATACTACTAATTTGCTGTAATTTGAACGTGGAATAAACTATAAAAGCAATTGTGTTATTAAATTTTAACATCCGCTTCAGTGGCAAACAAAAATTCAGTTTTAAATTTTGATAAGAACTGTGAACCTTCACGGCTACTTTTTCCGCACCCTCAAAAAAAGAAAGCAAGGTGTAAAAGATCGTCTCGTTGTGTAGGAGTTTTTCGACTTTATTATTAGTGTAAACAATCAAGAGTTATTCGTTCCTCAGCAAGTTTTTGCAAAATCTTTTCTAAATGCACGTAAGTCGTAATATCTTTATCATTTAAATAGATGTTATATATTTTAAGTCCGAGACAATTCTAACCTGTATGACGAGTGATGGCAATAAAACATAATGTCTTAGTCTTATTCTTTTCAATTTAAAAACAGCCACTTTATCTAAATCTTACTTAATATTAATTTTCGTCTGTATATGCCCATGCTTTCTTATCGTGAACGGTCTTAAATACAACGTAAATAAGAAGTCAGCGGTACGACGATGTTGATCCTGTCAATAATTTATATTCTGTTTTTATATTAATGATAATTAGGTTGTCTGCTTCCAGTCGAAATAAAAAAAAATGTTTTATTAGTTGTTGAACTTTATTTGCTAACCGAAACAAACAACGCACTAATAACTATAACCAAAAATCAAGCTAGTTTTTTCAATTATTTTAGAACAAAAAACTGGGGTATATTTATTTACTTGCAAGAGTATAACCCGTAAACCTATTTGGTAAAATTTTCCTTACGCGGAATCAATTAAGGTAGTTGAACGATTAAGTAATTATCTTGAGTACCTAAAAGTTTCCATTTCGAATTCTTTGTTTTTCCGTTTCGCCGTCTTTTCGCATTGTTCGAAATTTTCTTGTAGGTATTTTTGCTAACTATATATCATTTTAATTAATATTCAGTTTCGCTTTTAATAACTATATTTAGACTTCTTTTACCAGTTTGGCGACTTCTTTGGCAAACACTGACGCCAACGAAAAAATTTATTCACTGTTTATTTTGTTGCTATTATCATACATATGAATGTGTGGTCAGTATATTTTTTTTTTTACTTTTATATTCTACAGAACGAATAAACATGTTCTCTTTCGTTTAAGAAATAAATGAATTAAAATTTGGATATTTGTTATTACAGCATTGCTGTGTACTATACCTACTTAAGGTTACATTACGAATTTTCATTAACACAAAAATCTGGAGAATGTATTTTCAATAAAACCATACAGACACTGCCAATAAATAGAACAATTTTTTAATATAGTAACAGCTTTTTCATACTTTATAAGTATAGTTATTTTTAAATGTAAACGAAGGTAATTATGCAAATATCTAGTAAAAATCACCACCTGGTCGGAAAATGTTTTATTTACGTTGTCTAGGTTTGTTGTTAATTGAGTTTCCCCCACAACCTCATTTTCTTTCAATGATATTATGAACATTAACTTATTTAAAACTGCCAAAATAACGACGTAATGCAGTCATTAGATCTAAATGCCAATTTTTTTCAACTTTCTGTTATGTGAGAAAAATCTCCAAAATATGGCAACAATCGTGAGAAAAATTCACTAATGATTAAAATAAATTAAATATCAAAACTTTATGTGCAATAATTAGAAACGCGCCAATGAGGGTTTAATTAAATTAATTAAAGTTATTGGTCGAAATATATTGTAAACAAAATTAAGTCGTATCTATTTGGAATATTATTTCATATATGTATGTATGATTTACTATAATTTTTGTTTGAAATTATATGTTTTGGTTTAATTTTTTGCTAATATCTGTTTCAAAGGAACGATGGATTTTGAAATTAATCTTTAAACTTAGTTGCAACAGCATAATTTTTTCTCTGCAAAAGATTTCAAATAGTTCTTGGTTTTTCCAAAAACGTTAAGGCATTGTTATTATCAGGGACGCCCTGTATGCAATTATAAATTGTTTTTACCAGTTAATATATAGTTTACAATACATATCGCTGATAAATACTGTCTCAAACAGCACATTAAATATGAGAAAATCCACATTACCTACGACATACCGTTTGCATTCTTTGAAAACAATTACCTGTGGAATTTATCGAATCGTTTTCGTTTGCGCAAAGCAAAAATTCTTACAATATTTGTCTGTTTCAGTATGGAATTACAAAACAGCTCAAGTGCGCCTCCAAACAGCACCAAACAACCATGGAATGGATCGAAGTTAAATTATCAAACCGACCTAAAAGATAGAAGGTAAAACGGATTTACTACAATTTCCGGAAATGTATTCTCCAATTAATTAGATTTGGTAAAATTCAATGACAAAATGTAACAAATCAATTTATGTCGTCACTTTTGTCGAGTATGCGGAAAGCTTTTGTTTATCATTATCAGTTACAAACGAGGATAAATTACAATCATTCAATTTAATCGTAATACTTTGCCCATCAATAAAGGAATGCCGATCTATCTATACAGACATGTCCCACAAAATAAGTAATTGTTGGCGATAAATTGGCGAGCCGATTAGTTCAATTCCTGGTACACCTGTTTACCTTGTCGCATTTTATTATTTCGATTACAACTCGTTGACACAATGATGGTCTGCGAGATGTTATCGTTATCACAGACGCATGACAATATTCATCAAAATTTCAGTTTCTATTTCTCTTTTGCAGCAATGAAAATGTATTTATGACTTTTCAGTCTAAGGAACCAATCATCTCCATTCCCATGCATGAAAAGGAGCCCAAAGATAAAGTTCCGGGGAGTGGAGGTGGACACGGTCATGGTATTTCCGTTGAACATCCTACGTCGTAAGTACGAGGAGGTAATGACTTTCCGTTGGTTACCTCTATATTTTATTAAAACGTGATTCAGATTCATTTTTTTCGCTTATTAGCCTTGATAGCAAAATTCCGAGGAAATTCTCTCAAGAGTTGTATAACAGCTTATTACTATCTTTGTTAGACTATTATCTTAATTAAGACATTTTTTACAAGATATGGAGAGACCTTGATGCATCTCTTCAAGGGAAATGTAGGATCAGGGATCTTCGCGATGGGAGATGCCATTCGAAATGCCGGAATACTTGTGGGACCGGGAATTGTGTTATTACTAGGAATCATTTGTGTTCACTGTCAACATTTACTGGTGAGTGTCGCAATTTTCATTGAGAAGAAACTTACTATGCGAAACCTTGAAAGTATGAGAATTATTAAAACAACAATGTTACTGAGAGATAAAAGTGTCTAGACAATTCAGAACTGCAGTGACACTGAAAATTAAGATTCAAAAATTATTGGCATTGTTGAAACAAACATTTATTTATTATGGTACTTAAGTTTTCCTATTTGGACGAAGGAAAATACCTTCTTACCGACTTACCAAGATCAGCATAAATTAATGCAATATTTTGAATGACTCATTTTATGGGATAAAAACAGTTAACTGGAAGAAAAATAAATTTCACATACTGACAAATGTATTTTTGAATAAATAAGTGAAGATTTATACCGAGGGAGCAATAAAAAACACGATCAAAAACAGCCGTGAATTTTTGAAGGTTTGTTTTTGACAGAATTTTCGTCTTGGCAGAAAACCGTCAATTTGAAAGTTTGAATTCAAAATACAATTGTCTCAGTGTATTTATTGTTAATAAACCATTAGTTGTCAAAAGTTCGTTAAACTTTTCCTTTTTAAAATTTTTGGTCCCAGCAGCGGTTCAAAACGAGGCCGAAGTGATTTTAGTTTGAATAAATCAGTAATGCCTCAATTTATTCTTTTGTTGCATTACTTAGTTTCAAGTTCGTCATGAAGCTGATTATTTTTAAAACCACAACGATATTTTTATGATAATCAAAATTTTATATTTGGATCTCTTGACGACGTATCATTTAAATAATATCGTAATTAGGTGTAATGAGGTCAAAATTAGCTCCAACGACAAGATACAAACCGTAGTTGAGAATTAAAAAAATATATATATATATTAAAAATTATTTCTACCTTATTTAAAATTATGATTTAATTCTCGGAAAATTATAATTTGTTTGGGTTTTTCAGAAAACAGTTTTTTATTTATCGCTGAATAAATATAGCCAAAAATTAGTAAACAGTACATAAGATACATGTCGCGTGCCTTAACTGTCACTCAGCGCCCCTTAGATCACACTAGTTTTATCAGGTATTCTGTCACTATTTTTTTAGATTTATTCCTAGAGTTAAACAAATAATTAGACATTCTTAAAAACATAATATTATTTAACTGCTTGACATCTGTTCTGATATCGTTTTAAAACGACGGTAAATAATACCATGTGATGTGAAAGTTCCGTCTGGACATTTTTTGTTTAGTAGGTATATGTACATTTTGGTATTTTGTGTTTGGTTCAAAGATTCATTATTTTCGCAAAATTAAAAGATTTAGAAAAGTATGCAATAAGTTAGTTCTGTAAAAAAATGTTTGAGAGTCCCATGTCGTCACATACAGTCAACTGGATTTTCGGAAAAACATAATTCCTTAATTTGCCCTTTGTGGTTGCTATTTTTACGCATCAAGATTTTTCAACTTGTTTTATATTGTCACAGTATTAGATTACATATTGGTGGAACATTATTTCAAAAATATAAACTAGCCAAACAGTCCATTTCATTATTGGATACTTGATTGTTAACTCCATGGTTCGCATGTTACTATTATTAAAATTTCCACCAATTTTCAAACCATATTCGTGAACATGAACGTGAAAAAGTGCATAATATCGTATTAATAAGCCACCATTAAAAACGGTACGCATTGTGTAAAACTGAATAACCATAAAATTTATCGCCTCGAAACAATTACTTTTTGGTATTTAATACTAAATACTCGTTACATAATCCCTCATTAAAGGTGTTGCTGCCAAGATTTATTATTTGCTTGGTATAATTGAAACAGTCCTCAGTTGGATAGGTTTAATAGTTATCCTTGACTATCTTTGCACGTGTTGACGTGTCGGACATACAATAGCTACAGAAAGGTCCGAACTATGCAGTTTCAAATTATGATTTAATATACTTCGACAGGTGTCGCAAAAAACTTGTTACCCGAGAAGAGAAAGTCGTAAATAGATGTGTACATTTTTAATCGTACGTTGTCACGAAAATCGTCACAACAAACTAATTTTCGCGTAACTTATTATATTTAACCACGCATTTACACAGTTTTATACACCCACACAACGCAGTAATTTTTTTGTTATTAACGTTGTTCTTGCTAACTAATAACGGGATGCTAGCAATTTTGTTACAATTAAACCTAAAAAAAAAGGAATGTCTACAGTAAGTTCTTACATTGTGGCTGCTTGAGTGGCTGACACGCATGAGTAAAGTCACACCATACAAACATGTACTACGAGTACGAATAATGCCACTAAATCAAAATTAGAAACACACAAGAAAATTCAAGAAGGTGGAGAAGCGGAATTAGGCAGAAGTGTTTGTCATTCCTTTCGCGAGGCAATATGGAAGTAATTACGCTCAGACGCTGATCACATAAGAAATAATCTGCACACCTATTTTTATTGGTTTTGGCGTTTAAATTGTGTCGAGGGAAAGTTCCATTTTTTGTCTTCTTATGGTAGAACCAGTAGCAGAAATCTTGAGTTATCGTGAAGTCAGATAAAACTGGATTAACCCGATCCAGAAGTTGCAATTTAAGTTTTGACGCGTTGCGTTTGCAAAATTATGGAAACATCACCCACACATAATAGTCTTATTAATTAAATAATGATCTCGTTAAATACTTCCTTGCACGTTTTTGCGAATTCGTATTTTAGCATTTTTATGTCTTGGAATTACGATTATGGCTATTACGTCGTGTGGAGAATACTGATGAAGAGATATCCGTTCAGTAGGTCTAGGTCTTGGGATTAATGAGGAATACTTGAAACGATGTGACGTTCTTTTCCGGGTAATACGGGGTGTTTGAACGTCAATAAATCGTGACCTGTTAAAATGATAGATCATTATTTTTTTTTACTTGGGTACTTGTTCTTACTTTATAATTTTGTACGTCATGCAGGTAACGAAAGTGTATAATTGTTTGTGCGTACGTGAATATTATCGCATGAAGATGTTATCAGACGGTGATAAAGACAATATCATAGAGGATTTACTTTAATTGAGTGCTGTTTTTCCCAGGGCAACATGATAACGGATATGAATTGGAGGCAATGATTTGTAGATTACTAAGGCTAATGAAAATCTTATGGCTTAAGTTAGTAAACCAATAAATTCTATCAATTCTGGTTTCTTAAATCTGTGTTAAATTACTCGTTATTAAGGATTTAATTATTAGAATGAATGAATTTGCAATCTGCTTAGGATCCTTGGGAAGTTGATTACCTAAGTTTAAAAAACGATCAATCTATGCTTAATGGTAATACTTACCCACAATCATTTTTTCCAAATTGGATTTAAAGAGTCTGAAAAACTTTTAATATTAAAAGTTGTTCGATTAATAATAACAAACCCGCAATTTTACAAAGATTTGGGTCTCTTATAATCACGAGTCCAGCATTAATTTAATATTTGACTTTGACTTTGTTCGAGTACGTACTTATAGTGACAGGATATTCTTCTAATACCTATTAATTAGCGTTAATAAGTTGAATTAATACGAACAACCACAAATATGCGATTACCATGACTTACCTACCTTCCTAGGTTAAATAACAGAGAATGACAAAAAATTTAGCACGTATGTATGATATTTCGTACGTAGTTAATTACTTTATGATTCACAAAAATGACTCCTTTTGTTTCTCCACCCACAACCAAGGCCAGTACTGTTATTTTGAAAATAATATTTTGCCTGCTATAATGTGTTTAAATTTAAATTTTGTATATTTTTTAAAGGATTACAGAGTGATGTAACCTAAAATTTATTAAATAAATCTGCATTGAAAAGGATGCCATAAATATTTCACTGTTTGTGGTTCAGTAATATTTGTCTTTAATAATTTATCTGAAATGCTGAGACAAAATTGTGGTTAGTGTTACGTTGTGCGTATCAAACGGAATATTAATTCAAATCAACAAGTTATGATGTCATTTCCAAAATTTTTTAAATATTTATTTATGGATAAATGCACCTGAGATGCATACGGAATTGGCCTGCTTTAGAAAGGATAATTTCACAAAATATTTTGACTAAGAGAGTTTCTGTGATTTTTTTTTAATAAGTAATAAATAAAATAAATACTATTTGACAAATTGATTACAATAATTGTTATGATAGTTACATTTTATCCAAATCTATACATAACGGGTGTTAAATTAAAAAGTCATCAAGAATGTCACATTAACGAGATTGTGGAATGACTATAATACCGCTAAAGAATTAACTCAAAAATCTAGACAAAGAAGTATAGACTTGAGTTTTAACTGCCTTTGGGTCCCATCAGTACAACACTTTTCAGTGGAATCCAGCATTCGAGAGTATTATATGTTTAAGGGAAGCTAAAGTTCAAGGAGATATAAGAATATTTTATACATATATCACTAATGACTGTAGTAATGCGTTCATAATTTGGAAATATTCAAATCGGTACATTTTTGACTAAAAATGTCTACAAAGTGAATTTATTGCGAATTTGATAATGATTTATTTCATCTAAGTATTTTATTTTGTAGTATTTTCTGATTATATATATTTTGAAAAAAGCTGTATGTGATGGAAAAAGTCTAAAAGCATATTCGAAATTGCAGAAATAATTAGATTCGGAAAGTTGTAGACTAGACTTATTTATTTTTAACTGGTAATTCCACAAACTCGTGGTTGGTTATTAATTGCATTTTAATACTTGTGTATGTTGTGGCAAGTGTCACATAAATTAGCTACCTTAAATATTGCGCAAACTGGGATTGCCATTTAGTTATTAATTAACCAAATTTTAGCAAAATTTTTTTGAGAAACTTATTCAGCGATTTCTAAATTTTTTGTTCACGTAGGTTATAATCATTTGTGATTGCTCTGTATGTCTAACAACAATGTTGGCATCATCGGTACAACACTAAGTAACAAATTCGAAGCTGGCGCTATTTTTAGTTTACTCTACTACTTTTTTTGACATGAAAATTGCATTGTAGTATAATTGTAAAGTTATAAAGACGAGAAACCCAAAAGTTAAGATGAAAACGTCTGCAGTGGGACATATAAAATTGTACAGAGGAAATCATAGAACAAGATCTTTTAAACAATGTCATGGCTAATCTACAAATACTTATTAAAATTAACGATTAATCAATTTAAAAATAAATTTGTTGCGTTAAAGGTGAGATTTTTAAATTCAAATTTTTAAAATTATTTCTTTATTGACTTGAATTTTTCAGAAATGGTAGGTTATTTAGTTAAATTTAAAGCATACAACTATTTTATTTATATTTGATACGTGCATTCTATACAAATTCCATTGAATGTTGTAAAGTGTCTATAATTCACGTAGAACAAAAATATAATTTAGACAGAAATATTCCATACGAATTATAACGAGTGATTAAAAAGTTTTAGATTTGAGTTGGCCATGTGATATTTGTCATGTCTTTGATTAAAATACAAATGTCAAAAATCTAAATTATTGAAATACAAATGAAGTTATGCATCGCGTTTGCAGTTTAATCAAAGACATGACAAATATTTCCATGGCCAACTCTAATCTGAAAATTATTTGATCGCCCGTTACTTTCTACAATTTTTTTTTATTAATGTAGATATGGTATAAATGACAAACATACAACAGAATTCAACGCAGAGTAATACAATTTTTGTCTGTTAGTTCTAATTAATGCTGCTTTCAAGAACACCTACCCAAAAGATAGCATTCTTAAGAGCTACGAATTTTTTTTTAATCGATATTCTCCATTCAAGGTTATCTTTAATAACGATTGAGATAATTAGCCACTTTTTAGATATTTTTTTATCTAAATTAGGTTCACTATTTTTTCCAGAAAATTATTGTACTTGATCTGTATGTTAATATTTATTTAAATTAATAGAAAATTATCTACGACTTACTGTGTAATACTGTCATAAAAATTAAAACCCTACGCTTAGACATAAGCGTTAATTTCGCATGTCATTACATTAAATTACGGAATTTCAGGTGTGTCATAAACTTTTACTATCCATAAATAAATGTAAACAAAACACAAACATTTCCTACAGTTCTTTTTTACAAAATCAAAACAAAAATCTTTTTTCTGTTTAGTTATCGGTCGCTTTAAAAATGAAGGCTAAAAAAGAAGTAAACATACCTCCAGATTTTGCCGAAACAGTAGAACTTTGCTTCTCCACGGGTCCTCCAGCTATGCAAAGAATAGCAAAGTATATGAAAAGGCTCGTGAATATTTTCCTGTGCGTGACGCAGTTAGGTTTTTGCTGTGTCTACTTTGTTTTCATATCTGAAAACGCCAAACAGGTAGGAATATCCACTTGTAACAAATAAAAATTTATTAATGCGTTGCTTTTTTTTAGGTTTTAGATTATTACGGATATGTAATGGACGTCCATCTCCACATGGCAATTTTTTTACTGCCAATTCTTTGCACATCTCTGATACGTAATTTGAAGTATCTGGCGCCATTTTCCACTATTGCCAACATTTTTATGTTAATGGGATTAATTATTACAGTTTACTACACATCTCAGGATTTACCACCGATCTCTGAGCGACAGTATGTAGCAAGTTTGTCTCAGTTTCCTTTGTTCTTTGGAACGGCGGTATTTGCGTTTGAAGGAATCGGACTTGTAAGTAGTAAATATAGTCTTGGGGCGAATTATTAAATGGCTACTGAAATATTTTTAGGTTTTGCCATTACAAAATGAAATGAAAAATCCGGCAGATTTCAAAAAACCGTTAGGTGTTCTCAACGTTGGGATGTGCGTAGTTATGTTGTTATTGGTCATGATTGGCTCTTTATCATACTGGCATTATGGTGAAGACATCAAGGGTAGCGTTACTCTTAATCTGCCTGAAACCGAGATGTAAGAAAAAAAAATTGTCGAAATTAATCATAATTCAAATTTCCTTTTTTATAGCTTGGCTCAGTCTGTGAAAATAATCATCTCATTAGGGATCTTGTTCACGTACGCCTTACAGTTTTACATTGCTGTAGAGATTATGTATCCTAATCTCCAGAGCCTTCTGGGTCCTTTCAAGTATCCAGTTTTCGCTGAATTAACTTTTAGATCTGTTTTAGTGTTACTAACATGTGAGTATAATTAGAAATGTCGAAGTTTTGTCTAAAACGATATTATTTTTCAGTTGTCCTTGCCGAGGCAATTCCATTCCTAAATCTTTTTATTTCATTGGTGGGGGCAATTAGTAGTTCTGCTCTGGCTTTACTTTTCCCCCCCGTTTTGGATCTTGTTACGAGTTACAGTTTTGGAGATCTAAAACCTGTGACAGTTTTTAAAAATGTGATAATTTTATTTATTGGATGTGTAGGATGTGTCACTGGAACGTATGAAAGTATAAACTCGATAATTAGCGCTTTCGACAAACAATAACATTAATTTTTATTGAAGACTGTTAGTCAGTAAGTGACGTTCTATCGGGATAGTGGTTGTATTTTAATCATTTATTTATTATGTACATGTTGTGTATCATAGTGTAGAAAACATTTTATTATAAGTGATCCTTAATTTTGTAAAATCTGATTAGTGATAAATATTTTCGAATATGAAATTTTTTATTTCCTCAGAAATCCTTCCTTGCAAAATATGTCTTTGATAATAAGTGACATTATTATGAACACTTAATGCTGACCTTACACTTGGCCGATAAGGTTAACAATAATGCAATTAGCATGAATTAGGAATGTTTTTGCTGTCAGTTATATTTTATTACTGTTATTATTTTGAAAGTTTTTCTAGAAGTTGAAATTTCTTAAGATAGTAAAATACTGCAAAGGTAGCATTGTATTTTACAAAGAATTCGTACGTAGTGGAGTCCATACAACTGCTGTGTATGCAAAATTATATTTTATATCGCCATCGTGAAGATCTATCAGAGAAAATTTTGTCTTATTTTTGAACTTACTTTTTTTGAATTGAAGTGAGAGAAAAAAAATTTAGTAAACAACGTTGCTGATTACGAGATGTTTTTACATCCTGAGACCGGCACGTAACAAGACTTTTATTTTGGAGGGGCTCAGCCCGAGCACTAATTTCAAATAAGGGGGCCTTTAAAAAAAGTTTTCATTAATATAAATCAACATTTTACTTGAATCATAACCAGTATATAAACTTAATGGGGTGCAAATAGTTGAAATTGACTAACGCCATGAGAATTCATTTAAACCCTCGGTGCCAATCTGCATAGTGTGTAAAAGGCATATCAATTGTATCGGCTAATTGCTTAAAAAAGTTATCGACAAAACTGTTCACAGCAGTATGCTTTACTCAGAGAGTTATATTATAAGATAGGAACATAAGATTTCTCATAGCTAAAATTTACTGTTGATCTGAAATTTCGAATTTACTTTATTTTTAAAATTTAAAATTAAGTTAAGGGGGCACCAGGGGTGGCACAGGGTTTTGCTGGGGTGGCCTGTGCCCCCCCAGGGCCCCCTTGGTTACGTGCCTGTTCTGAGAACTGGTAGAAATATTGAAATTCTTTAAACGCCATTGATTTTAGCTTGCACTAAATTAAGGTTCCCCCTTCAAATTAAAAACAACGACGTTTACAGAATTTCAATACCTCTGTCTGTTTTCAAGATATAAGACAGACGACAACCTGTAGACAAAAATGGATGCAACTTTTAAAATCAAATGTAATTCTAAAAAGTTTCCGGTAGAATAGACAGAAGGTAATTTAAAAAATATCTATTTTACCTGCAAACTGAAGAGCGCCATACAGTTTCACTGTGAGAAGAGCACGATAGAACCAAAATGGTGTTATAAAATTATTTGTAATTTTTAATTTTGAATTAGATCAGTGTAGCGTTTCTTTTTATTATTTTGGCATGGAAACAACAGAAATTCTGTTCTTTCCATCCAAAATTACTCAGTGATAAACGCGACAGTTACTGTCAAATTATTGCCACATTTTTTTGTCAAAATTGACTTTATTTGAAGAACAGATAACAAGAATAATGGCAAAAGCGAGATCCAATTCACCCCCACTAGGGCAGAAATTCGGACGTTCGGATATTGAAAGAATAGGATTGTTTAGCGAAATGGCTTATATAAGTGCTAAAACGTTTGCGAAAAAGAAAACCCAAAGTAAGACACCTCTGTGTATTTACTAATTTATATGATTCTATTCAAGAGGAACCCAGAAACATGTACTGCGGTGGTCGAAAAATGAAGGACGGTACGCAATATGGTTATTTCGAGCCTGTTTTTCAAAGAATTTTTTCAAAAGAAGCTTTAAAGGGGAGAGGACGCAAACCGTAGGTATCGCAATGATACTAATATAACTTAACTGACCAATTTTATTTCTCACCTTGCAGTGTACCACCAAAATTTAAAAATGTATCTCAACGTCCATTTTTACCTCCTGCTGGGTTTAAGCAACATTCTTGTCCAGGTGATTACTATGGAACTTTTGGTGGACGAATTGAAGCTTTTGGCAATAAAAGGAGGCCAAAACCTGTTCAAAAATCGACAGGAAAAAACATACTGGGTAATCCTGGAAAACTAGGGGGACCTGGTTATGCTGATATATGTTTAAGTCGTTATCCGGAACACAAGTAGTTGACACACTGTTATCGTTTTAACAATTTAATATTTTTATTTTCTAGGGCTGAACGTTACGGTCTAAAACCCAAATATAAAGAATATGGAAAAATAGTGGGAAGACCTATGGTACCTGTACACTTTCCGCAACCATGTTTCGATAAAAATCCGTTTGCTGAACCAGAAGGTATAAAAACTGGACCGACGTACGTAAAACCAAAAACAAAAGAAATTCCTCCTCGACCGCCTGGTTATATTCTTCCTACTGGACCGGGGAAATCGGTAATGCTTTTTCATTTAATTCTGAAATATTCTTTATTACTGTACAATATATAGCAAGGTGGATGCCACGATGGATGCTTCAATAAATTTCCAGAACATATATCTGACAGAAAAAAGGAGGTGAAGAAAGCGCCTGAAAAGGTTTTCCTGCCTAATCCAGTCAGCTTGAAGAGTTATTATAACACTTCGACTCTGTTTCAAAATGTGGATATCAAACTAAATGAGACCAATTATAAAGAATTTCAGCCAGTTTTTAATAAATATATACATTGTCATTAAAGCATGGTAGTAAATCAAAATGTGTTTTGATTGTGGTTACAAATCTTTTATGATACAGTCGAGGCCATTAATAATGACCGCCTCCCGGTCCTAGCAATGGACTGCCGAAAGTACCCGAGCGGTTTGAGAAAGGAAAGTTGGTTTACAACTGCAAACACAGACCTGCATTTATCAAAATTCAGCTTTCTCTAAGGGCTCGGGTAATTTCGGCAGTCCATAGCTAGCACCATGGCCACGGGAGGTGGTCATTATTAAAGCCCTCGACTGTACATCAGGTGTTTTGCAAAGTATCAAATTCAAACTTAACTGTTGTTTTGAAAATAGTTATTTACATTACAAGCTGCGTAAGTAAACTTTTTTGTCGAGGTGGATTTGACGGGCCGAGACAACGCCGAGGCCCGGCAAACCTCCGAGACTTAAGAAAGGAGTTACGCAGCGTGTATTGTATTACGTTTTTTCTGCTACCGACACCAGTAACACTAAAAAGTAATAATTGTAGTAACTAAAAAATATTTAACAAATTATCAGGAACTCGTTGAATAATGTATTCATTTCCGTAGCAACAAGGTAAAAAATTTGTTTACACATGAAGTTTCCTAAAAAATAGTTGTTCAAAGTGAAAAATGAGTGTTTCAAGTTATTTAAAGGCAATAGAAGAAGCTGCCAATATTGCTTGCGCATCTCTGTTACCTGAAAAATCGAAATTACGTTATAATGAAACTTACAAAGCATTTTCAAATTGGTATACTCGGTAAGAGATTATGATACTCGGTATGAAACCCCGGAAGCTCAGATCACCATATATCACATCATACATATACATCACGAAACATTCAAGGTGTTAATGAAACCGTAATGCTTGGTTATTTTAGGGAAAGATCCGAAGCCCTCAAGTCTCCTAGCAATGTATGGTGTGAATATACAACGCTGAAATTAACGTCGTGTCAGTTCTTCTGTTGTTACCTCAATCATAAAACAAAATGCTGGAGGCTCATGCAATTGATGAAAATGTGACAGTTACTAATTTTGAAATAACTGCAAAGAATAATCCTTTAATAAATATTACTGAGTGTAGTGTCACAGTTAATATTAATAAATAATTATAAAAGAAACTTTAGCTATTGCTGTATATTGAAATTATTGACATTTCTTTGACATTCTACTACTTCCATTACATTTTTGTCCTGGCAGCGTAACACTTACGCCCTTCTTAACCTATGTACTTACGGGGCTAGCAACGAGCTTGCCCTAGTTACTTCACTTACGTTTACGTCAGTGTCACTGAAGCAATAAGATTCATTTACGCTATCGGTAGCAGAAAAAATTAATTTGTAAGAGCAACTCAAATTTCAGGTGTTATGAAAAAATGTTAAAACAAAAATCTTAAAACCATTTAATTTCTAATAAAAACATGTAAATCACTCCACTTTAATAACAAAAAGTAAAAAAGTATTTATAGCCGTTCTCATTTACAAATCCCCAGGTACACATGAATATCGTACAGAAGATATTCTGAATTTGTATCCATGCTATTGAGTTTGACACAACGTAAAAGTGACTTTGTGCATACGGTATTTAGGTGAGCCTGATTGTACCTGCCACATAATCGAAAAAAATCTTCTAGTGCAATGAAATTACTTTTGACATTTTGAACGTAATTGAATCGTTAAACCCTTTATTGTCTTTGCTATTTCTATTGCAAGACCAACTATTGATTTTGTTTAAAATTTAGCCATATACAATAACAGCTGTCGGTTGATTGAGAATGGTTTTTCGTTAACAAACTGTAATTTTGCAATTTTTTTTCCTAAACCGTTAGATCTCTATCGAAGTACGAGCCCTAACAACTAAATATTGGGACACAGACAATTTCTCAAAAAAATCCGGTAGATATTTTTGATATCATTCAATTCGTTTGGACTAAATGCAAATTTTGCATTGGCATCTATTTTGGCAGAGAGTGAGGTATTTTGCAAATTAATAAATTTTCTTAGATCGCAAAAATTGTCACCTAACTAAAAAATGTGCAATTTTTGCTGACATTTAAATGTTGGGACACCCGAGAAAATTTGCTAAGTATACTATCGAAATACAAACGTAGTAGGTGGTAAATGCTGCCATTATTATAGGGATCGTAGCATTTCATGGTAGTGTTGGTTTTATTTAGAAAAAAATAGTTAGCGGCGGGCTAGTTTTAGTAAAAGTTCTGAAAATAATAATTTCTCAGTACCTCAAGGGAAAATCGCTAAGAAAAAGTGAAGATTTGTTTCAAATAGCTTAGTCGTCGATGGTAAATGTTGTAAAATATTACGCAGACAGAGGTACCATCGGAATAAAAGGTAAAATTCCCGGTAGGTCACCAATTGTGAAGCCGCGTAATCAACGACAACTGATGAAAATTTATAAAAGTGGACGACGGACTACTTCAAGAGAAATTACTACTTG